GTGTTCAGCGGGCAGCTGCCACGTTAATTGGGAATTGAGGTTTTCTCAAGAGCAGGCAGTTAATGGTATTTAAACAAAAGATTAGGAAAATAATTACTGTTTGTTAATTAGCTACGCTGATGTCTAAACATATAGTTCTGTACATATTCAGGCATGCATCTTCCTTTTTGGTAAGGGTTTTGAATAATAGCAACTTGAGTTATAAAGAAGCATATAATTTAATTTAGGGACAAATTTTACAGAAAAGTAGATTATAGGAATTACTTTCTAAGAAAAAATACTACATATATACCAAAGCCAGTGGAAGTGGCTGGCCACATAAAGAGTAAAACAAACTGAAGTTCCTAGCCTCACAGTGAGACTTTACCAGAAGGGCCCACTGGACTCCATTTCGCATGTCAGACAGTACCAACCCTCCATTTTCATCGGTGTTTATTTTTTTCTTAACTAAATATTGGCCTTCAAATAGCAAGTGCAGATTCACCCGAGTTTCATAAAAGCCGCACAAAAAGGTGTTTTCCATGGTTACGAACTGCTCGAGTGCACCGGTTCTGGGAGTGTCGCTGGGTTATGGCTGACTGCCCTGCAGAGCTTTAGGATATTGGAAAGTCACTTATGCAACAAAGGCAGGAATGATGTTAGATTTTGGCCAGACTCTCTCCTTAGCTGTGTGGAGGAGAATGAAGCCCCCCCCCAAGGAAATGGAGTGAAAAGGGTTGGCATTTGCTCCGTTCTCGTTCCCTTTTTTGGTCTAGCAGAAAGCCCTCTGCAGAAACAAAATGCAGTTACGGCCCTACCAAAAATTGGAATATGGCTCTCCTGAGGGGTGCAGGAGCCAGGAGCAGCTGTTCAATACAGCATGGCCTCTTGGGAATGAGAGCTAAAAATCACAACAAGGTGGTTAATGATTCTCAGAGCAATAGTGAAACTCTCCAGCTGTGACATTAACCAAAACATGAACATTAGTGCTGTCCAAGGAAGGAAGAGCCCCTGGAGATGCACACCAGGGATTTGCTGCTACTGGGTGGCCAGGCATGCTCTGGGAGTTAAAAATTTCAGCTGCGAAACCTATCCCTTTGGAAAGCCAGCATTTTCCTCAGTGAGGTGGCACAATGCAGATTCATGAAGTTTGGGAAGGTTCATTTTTTCCTCCATAAAAAGCCTTTTTCATAGAACACATCCTTGATATCAGAAGCAGTCCCAAAATCATCTTATCTCAGATCTCTTCTCGATTTTGTTTGTTTGGTAACCCATAAAAGCACAGCACAATTATTTTCTTGAACTTGACAGTTTTGGGGTTTAATATCTCATTGTCCAAAGAAAACACCACCTCCACTGCATGCCAGTTGGACTTCATCACTATCATAACTGAATCTGACTATTAGAATCTGTGGCCCTCATTCCAATGCAGAGTCTAAGATACTGCCATCCTCTACACCATGATTCTTAAAGAGCTGTTTTAAATGAAATGCTATTTTCTAAGGTTCACAACTCTACATGGGGAGAAACTTAGCTATTTTCCCTTGTTGGGCAAGATCACTATCGGTTAATGTCCCTTTGCACAAAGGAGATTTCGTGTTAAATAGCATTTGTGTCAGGATGAGAAGAATGATCTTGTGGCTATACTACTGGATTCATAATCAGATTGGATTTCTCTCCCTTTCTCTGCCATGCATTGACTGAGCACCCTCTGGGCAAGCCATTTTAGCTTTCTATTTGCTCCTTTCCCCATCTATAAAAAAGAGGGTGATGACTGTATCATTTAATTTGTTAGAATTTGCAGTTCCCTCTCAGATACTCAGCTGCAGAATGCATTGCGGTAGGAACTGCTGTATTGCACTGCGTTCCTGTGGTTAATTCTCTTGCTACAACTCCAGCAACAGCTAAACTGACTCCTAGTCCCTTGTGAAACAGTACAGCTCTTCATATCAAGCACGTGTACCTGTTGTCTTGGTCTATAAAAGAGAGACCTAGTGGTACATTAGGTTATTGCTCACCCAAATCACCTTTACCAACCAAAAGTTTAACCTTTTAATCCAGAACTGTCTGATAAATGATGTGGTCCTATACTTAATAGAAATTATTTCAGGGAAGTATATTTTAAATTAACATTCTCCTGCTGCAGGCAACTTTAAAATACATGACATTCCCAAAACTGTTTGTTTGTCTTGTCTTTCATACAATTTCTTGCCATTTTGGCTAAATATCAAAGCTGTCTTTGTGAGCAAATGTTCTTTCTCTGCCAGCTCCTCTTTCGCTTGTTCCTGAAGTGAAGCATCATAGCAAATTTGTGGCATCACATTCATTTCCTTGGCTATGGGCTATGATGTTGCAAACAATCTTTAGTGAATTCCAGTAGCAGAAAGACTAGGCTGGGCAGGAAGATGTTTTTCTTCAAGCCCAACGGGCTAGCTATCAGCTAGTGTAAACTACTGTAGTTCTATGGAATTCCCATGGAGCAAAGCTGATAAAGATCAGGAGAAGATCTGCCTAAGAGACCTGGCTTTTGTTTCTTTCCATGGTTTGACTTTTCCCTTTCCTAAAAAGGAGTTTGAAGACCCCACCATAGGCTTAGCCCCTGTATACTCTAATACAATATGACCCAGCTTTAACCAGTGAGAGCAGTTTGCCCCATCCTAATCTCAGAACAGAGTATAGGGATCAGAAGTGGTAAGAATTCCAGGAATCCCACCTCCATGTCAAACAAGGGTATGTATATGAAGACAGTAAGATATGGCTAGAAGCCGTGTTGGTGATGGTCTAAGCAACACTTGGTACTGCTCCCTCTTCTGAACCGAAATTCACCGTAAAGGGAGTCACTGCTAATGTACGTTCCATGTCAACTTAATATTCTGTGCCAAAACGGCCCCTTAAAATGCACAAATATCTCATGACATTTTACAGTGAAGTGGGACTAGCATCTTGAGGGACTCCAGCGTAAAGCCTGCTTTGCATATATGTAGTTTTGGTACTCTTCACTTCTTGGCTCTAGCAATGTAGTTATATGACCTTAAGGAAATACCAAGCTGACATCCGAGTATTTTCAGAAAACAAGTTAAACATAGTTTGGAGCATTATGGAAGAAAGGTATACGTAGTAATTCACCCAGCAAGGCTGAGGGGACTTTTGTGCATATTACACAGTTTTCAAATGCTTTAGAATTTTTCTTTGAACAGAGAAGCCATTTAAGACAGCGTTCTGATGGTTTCCCTTTGATTTTCTACCAAATATCCCAGCAAAAGTATCTGCCAACAGGGACCTGTAAACAAGATCTTGAGTTCCTTCCCTTCTGAGTGGAACTTACCTGCTCCAAGGGATTAAATGGCTTCTCCACTCCTTCTGCTTCCTTAAAAGTAGACCAGAAGAACCAAACAACAGATGTTTGATCTTTGAGCTTTGAGTTAATTTTTCCCACTGCAGAACAAATTTTTAGTCTTGCACAACATAGGGTTCGGTAGTTAGCTAAAAAAAAACCCTCACCATAAAACAGTACAGAAGAATCTTAATACATGGCACTAGCAACAGAGATACACCCTTTGCAAATTTGTGGCTTCTTTGAATTATTAAGCAAATTAAGATGGTAGAAAGGCAAAGAGAACATCTCACCAAATCTACTCAGTTAATTTCTTCCTTGATTTTCAGATATGAATAACAACCAGTGTACCTGTTCATACTCTAATATGCAAGCTGCACTGCAATTTGCAAAATGCTCTCGGAAAGATGAATTAGTGCACTTAAAAATTCCTTTAAAACTTTGTGAAGGAAAGGTGTTCTTTGCATGATTTTTGCAAGTACTAGCAAGGTTTTAGCTTTTTGGAGAGAAAAGCTCACCTCACTGGCAACAACTGGGAAGAATTCATTCTCAGAAGTCAGGAGTGCCTTATCTCCCCTCAGATCAGTAAGGCATGAAGACATGCAGTTCCTGGGGTGATTTCAGGCGAATGCTCTTTGAGCAAGTGAAGCTGTCTCAGATAATTGTAAGAATTAGGAGGCATCATAAGATGTTTGTGAAACTTGGATAGAGAGGGAAGGGAAAAGGATGCAGTTTGCATGCTCATAGAGTTGGGAACTCCTTGCCAAAGGGCTTTGTGGGTTGCCGATGGGTTCAAGGGCAGATCAGGCATTCATCAATGGGAAATCCCTTGCGGGCCATTAAATACAGGGAGTCCCTGAGCTGAACATAGAGGGTGGGAAAGAATATGAGAAAGTAAATATGTGACCTGTTTTGACTCTTCCCTGTGCATCTAAAAGAGAGAACAGTGGAGAAGGTGGAGCATTGGTCTGATTCAGTACAGTCTTAAACCAAAGACTCCTCCAATGTAATACTTCTTTACCAAATATTTTGCCTTCAGAAAGGCAACAGGCTTTCATCTACACACTCAGTGTCTTCTCCAGCTCTTAACTCACTTTATTTTTCTGTAACGTTGAGGCCTGAACATTATATTTAGCCTGACTGGAATTTGGCAAGTAACTTTCCTTTTAACATTGTATTTTGTCTCTTCATTGGATAGTTAGATTGTCTGGGGATTTTATTCAGCAGAATACATTCCCATAAATATATTTAAAATAGACAGAATCACTGTTTGTATTAAGGCGTCTATTTAGGTTATTTGAATTTAGATCTGAACATGCAAAAAACTGAACAAGGGAGAAGATTGCATGGGGGATTTGCAAACGAGAGGAAGACTGAAAATGCATTGAAAGCTTTTGGATGTGGAAGTACGTGGCATTGTGGACAGTTGCAGTGGAGAATATAATGCAACAATAAAATCATTAAAGTACTTCAAGTTTGGAAGTAATCTGGGTTCTTGGCTTGCATTGCATTTAATAGCTTTACATTTATGGGAGCCATTCCAGTTTTTAAAGGCAGCTTCAGCCTTCAGACTGATTGCACTTACCACCCCAGTGAAACTGCAACCCATTAATTTTTTACCGAAAGGATCTTCCTAGTTTGTCAAACACATCAAGTGAACATTTTAGAGAGTGCAGACCACAGCAGTATGAAAACCAAAACTTTAGAGAGAGAATGCTGGATTAGCATGAAATAAGGGTCTGATTCTGTTAATAAGCACTTTAGTACATTCAGTGCTATGCAAAACTCCATTAAAACCAGAAATACCACATATTTGAGAGAAAACAGTCAGGCGATGCCAGGACCTACAGAAGTCTCTTGTGCTATCCCAGCATGGAAAGCCTGCAGCGGTTCTCCTCTGGGATGGAGAGCAATGCAGGTGACCCCAGCACACTTCTCCCTGAGTGCACGTCATTGCCGTCCTGCCTGGCAAGGAGCCCTCTCCCAGCAGCCTGGTCCCCTACATGTTTATATCCCCATCATTAAGACCAAACCTTTCCAGTGTCTAAAACCAAACTCTCGCTCTCTAAAACGTTTGCACATTTCTATGTTAAACATCTGCTTAGGTGGCTCTGAGACAGTGTGTTTTGGTGTTGTTCGTGTGCAATCTAGTGCCGCTTCCTCAACGCATGTGTCCCTTCCCTTCACAGCCTACTCGACACCCAGCACCTCCCCCGCAAACCGATTCGTCAGTGTTGGACCACGGGATCCAAGCTTTGTAAATATCCCTCAACAGACTCAGGTGGGCCGCTTTCGACTTCTCTGTATGCCTGCAGCCTCTTCTTCTTCAGTGTACTCTAACGTGTCCCCGCGGAGCCAGCTGCATTGCCGCTGTCACTTCACCCACATGGTCTCAGTAACTACAGTGAAATGTCACTTGCAGTTTGTTTGTCTGTTGTGTTTTTTTGGGCTTGTGTAGCAATAACGCTGCTTTCGTAACTGGAAAGATCTCTCTTGCTTTCTAAGATACTGACTTCTAGTGCACAGTTTTTTCCTCTAGGACTGAGTTTTCAAAGACTTTTGCTCCAACCTGTTCCCTAGGCAGTGCATTTAATTGCATATGCAAAAGGAGCTCAGAGAGACCCATCAGGTAACAGTGTGCCTTAGTCACCCACCAAATAGGAGACTGCTCCAATGACTTCCATGTAAAAAAAATAGAGCCGAATTCCTACTTGGCCATTTGCATGGTCAGCTTTGAGCAAGCAGGAGATTTTGTAATTGCGAGCACATCTGTTTCCTTACACAAAGAGAAAAAAGTCCAGTTGAGGCAGGCCTGTAAAGCTGGGTTAACTGAATTCATAGTCCTGCTATGGTCAAATCAGAAGCTCAAGTAAACATTTGTGTTTCTTTAGGAGAAGGACGAGGTTTAAATGTGCTTTTTCCAAGCTGTATCAAATTCCCAGGGTCGATTAAGAAAATAGTTGTTGGCAGTTTTGTTAGCAGCTAATTTGAGCCAGATGTTGAAAAAATTAAGTCTGTGCTTAATATCACGTTATCATGGGGGAGAAGGTATAAAAAAGTGAGCAGAACTAGTGCTTTAGGACAACTGTAGTTTGTAGTTTTAAGCGATTGCTTGACTACGTTACAATTCTTTTAAAGGTCAACACCAAGAAATATTTGTAGTTTTGTTTTGAGCTGGTTGCGATGACTAAAAAGTAATAATTCAAATAACTAGCAAATTGGGGTGTACTACTCTTAGGTCTTCTAAGTTCTTTCAAATCTCTTATATGCATCTGAATAATCAGCGTACAGATTAATGGCTGTCACATGCCACAGTCCAGCGCATGCATGAAGACAGACTCCTCCTTGCAATGGCTTCAGCACCTACGCTGTCAATGAAGCACAGGTCACTCATTACCAAAGATTTTCAGTTTACAGGGCTGCAACCAGATGCCTGTGAACACAATGTGTTTTCTTGCTATCTGTTCTTTGTGTACAATTTGTTAGGGGCTTTAGTTTACAGCTCTGTCGACAGCACAGGTTAAACTACATAGAATCTCAAACCTTCTCTGCATTAAATAGGGTCACAGAAAGTACAGCAGCAGTGCAGAGCGGGGTTTTAACCCATCAGGTTCTGATTTTTTTTCATGCTTGAACAAAAAACAGCCTGCACCCCACTTTTCAGCCCTCTTCCTTTATTCAGTTCATGTACGTGACAGATTTTCATGCGCCTTCACATTTAAATTGTGTTTCTCCAGTCGTTTTGGAAATGACTGGAACACACAGCAGTGCACTGAAATCGGGAAATAGGAATGTTAAGGTATACTGTTAAAGTCCTTAAGCATTTGGTCTGTTCCTTCATCGCTCAGGAAACTTGAAACCCTTTGGAGAATGCTACTTACCTTTTCCAGAAGACTTGAAAAACTACTAGTTGGTAAACTGATTATGTAGTGAGACACAACAGTATTAAGTCTCAAAAATATTTTAAACTTATTTGCATCCTGCAGCCTAGGTCTCCCAGATAAGTTTGTTGACTGTAAACTTTTATCCTCCTTATTTATGACTTAAATCATTTTAAAGTGCTCTAGCCTTGCTTTAAGTGCTTCTATGTAATGCAGTATAGTGAATAACAATGCTGTACAGTGAAAAACAATACTCAAGCACAGCTTTCAATTAAAGTCAAACATGCTGCAGTGGGTAAGGAGACTGACTTCCAGTCTCTGACTCCAGCTGCATCTCCGTGCTTCTATACATCATTACAGCACCACAACCCACTTGATACTAAATATATAATTTATCAGCAAAACTCACTACTTATTCATGAAAGAACTCTGAAGTTGACTGTGTTTTAAATCAGAGAAGTGAGGTAAAAATACTAACTGCAATGATTTGGGATTTACTTAGCATTCCTCTAAAAAAGACATGCTTTTGTACTCTTTTTGCAGGGCATTAGTGTATAGGACGATCACTTAGGATATTTTCAAAATGAAAATACAAAAACACATAGAATTGTGTTATTAAAAGCAGCTGGGGTGGCTGCTTTCCATCAGGATTTTTATAGTACATTCAGAGTCAGCCTAAGATATGGGTCCTGAGGACCACTAACTGCCAGGCCACACAGCTCCCTTAGACAAGAGGAAGCAGTGAACACTCAGAGCTTCTGAAAGTCAAGCTTAAATATAAGGGTTAAGCAACTCTTTACTGCTGGAACAACAAAATAAAAATGAAGACTGTATATGAACATCTGCTTTTTTGAAATTACAGTCCAGCTACAAACTATAGGAAAACATTATGGTCAGCTTTTGGTGGCTGATTTTCTCTTCCAACTGGTGGGTTGTTTGACTACAGGCACTAGTTACACATCATCGTTATTAGTCTTAAAATGCTGCAAAAGTGAGTCTGTGCACAGGGATGTGACAGCGCCGTTCAGCAGAAGTCACATTTCCCATACATGGGCATTCACAGGCTTTCACAGAACATTGGAATAAAATTGCAGACAAATGTACAATGGCGTGGCTGAGTTTGAGCAAGGATCATTCCGTCTTGGGCTGTTTTTAAACAACCAAAACCAGTACATGCTTTTCTTAACAGGCATTATAAAAATTAGCAGTAGATGTTTCCATTAGCAGCATAATCCCTTAAAGGAAATTTATAGAATTTATATAATATTTTATTTAGAAAAAGGTCATCTTCCTGTGTCAACAAAGGTTGTAGCAGGACGACAACTCCACGACAGAAGAGACCAGGAAATAAACTGATTTAAGTCAGTAATTCTGATTCAGTAACAAAAGCCCCAAAAGGGCTGTTGGCTTTGTCTGGTTTTAGCAGCTTCAAAACTTTTCAGTTGGTTTGTTTTTTCGTACACTGGCTCTGCTTACCCCATCCATCACTCTGCCACTCCAGCGGCTCACCGCGTAATTGTCCTATCTGGGGGGTTATTTGAATCTAAATTTCTGTTTGAGCTATTAGAAGAAACACTTGACTTGGCATCCTCTGTATATGTTGACAAAAAGGCACAGGTGTTGTAACCTTTGCTTGATAAATCATTTACTTTTGCTACTTGACTCGCAAGCAATATGGGGGCATCAGCTTTTTAACTGCCTTTTCCATATGCAAATCAGAAATACAGTATGCCTGGGGTACACAGTCTTAGTTTCAGAAGCAAGCTGGTCTAGATACCTCATGACTAAGTAATAGATACGTCTCTTATATTGCCAAGGACTTGTAATAAGGAGAGCGGTAAAGGAATGGGAAAGTACCATCACATTAATTAGGGACTAGCCTATCAGTAGCCACAACTCTAATAAAGAATAAAGGGTTCTGAGTTTTGGGGTTGTTTTTTTTTTCTAACCACACAATAAAAGTAATTGTGAAACACAGGACATGTACTCAGAGTATGTGCAGCTGGTAATGCCAAAGTAGCAACCTGCTCTTCGTGACCAGAGTTTGCGTTGTCACTTGCCACTCTAAACAGTGTTGGCTGATCTCTAATGCCCTCGCTTTGCTCTATAGTTCAAAATTCCTTTAGAGATCAGCGTGCTGTATTGTGTGCTGCAGCTCCACTTCACACTAAACATTCTTTACTCCTGTTTGCCACCTACTTACCCTACACCTTCCTGGAAATTGTACTTCAGATGCTAAAAAAGGTTCCTGAGCATCACGTGCCTGCTCCATCCAATCACTCCTACCTGCCAGTAGCCCGTGTGCCTTACTCAGTAAGGTTACGAGGATGCACAGAACAGGAACTGCCTCCCGCTGCAGGCACCCAGGCAGAGGATCAGCTGCTTTACCACCTGGGAGAAACTAAACGGGTTTCTTCTCTGCTTAAGAGAGAAAGTGTATCCCACACCCTCATGTCCATCTGTTTCAGGAAAAATCCCTCCCCAATCTAAACATGCTTTATTATATCAGATCCATCCCAGTTACATTATAAAACTTAGTTAAGTGCAAAATCAAATATTTATTCCCTTACCTTTCTCTAGGAAAAGATAAAACTATTTTCTAGAAGAACAGAAATAGAAGCTGTTCCTGCTTCTGCCTTTGCACAATCCCAAAGCTACAGTCAGGTCATGGATAGTAAGCCAAGGTCTTGTCTTCTCACACTTTCGCTGATGGGGCCCTAGAGCCACACATCTACAAAAGTGCTGTAAATAGAGCTCATTCTTTATAACGCAAAACAATTGGAACACAAGCCCCATAACTTACCTAGCACACCGTAATAAAGTATGAGAAAAGCCCCCAAATCCAAACAAGTTTATCTAGGCAGCAAAATGACCAGTATGAACACCAGCAAGCTCAGCGGCACAGCCATGCTCTTGCTACCAGCCTTATAAAAACCAGGTACAAAAATGCACACCATGAAACGCATCTGTAAAAGAGTAATGCTGCCCTGGAGTAAGTTAGGGGGAGAAATTACTGAAGTTTAGCAAAAGGGATACTATGTTTATAGTATAAGGAAATTGCTAACTTCTTTAGATCTGTTCCCATTCCCTGCCTTTTCTGAATTAGACAAGGGTATCTTTGTAGCTGCTTCTTTTAGGCTTTTATTTATCTTTAAAAAAAACACCTTATGCCTCAGGTGCATATACAAACCTAATTGTACAATTACTTTCTTTTCGAGAGCCAAGGGAAAGACTACTTTACTTCCCCGCAATCCTTTTAGAAAAGAAACTGCAACCTGCAATTTTTCACTGGCAGCACTTTAAAACAAAGGGCATGAGAAAAAAATGAGCTTTATGCTGTGTCCTGTAGGTTAGCAGATGTGAGCTCTGTCAGACAAGGGAGGGAGGCAAATTCTGGAGT